CCACCCGCCCCCCCCTAGACATGGCTGTTCGGCTACGAGCTGACCGACACCATCATGGTGTTCTGCGAGGACAAGATCCTGTTCATGGCCAGCAAGAAGAAGGTGGAGTTCCTCAAGCAGCTGGCCAACAGCAAGGGCGGCGACAGCATCCCCGCCCTCACGCTGCTCGTGCGCGAGAAGGTGGGTGCCGAGGCCGGGGGTGTCTCGGGGCAGGCCGTGCGCGTCCCCCCTCGCGTGTGTGGTTCCCAACCGGTCGCTCCCTCGGTTTGCTGGTGCTCGAGGAGCCCCGCGGGCGCTGGGGAGCCGGTCCCCGTGCCTCTAGCCCTGGCGGGAGCTGCAGGTGACAGGGGGACGGTGCTGGGTCTGGGCTGGGGGCGGAGGGAAGGGCCCCCGTGCTGTCTCTGCAGCATAGGGACGGGCTGGGGAAGTTGCGACCCTGGACAGCGACGGCTGGAAGGGGTCTTGGGAGCTCGCATCTAATTCACTCGCTTGCTCAAAAGAGCCCCAACTACGTCACCCTAGATGATACTTTATGTAGCCTGTGGTACGGAGTCTGCGATCTCTCTAGGTAGCTCTGTTGGTGAGAGACTATTTTTCCGGATATCTAACAGCAATCTTTTTTGTTACTTTTGTTCTGTCTTCTGGCATCACTGATGAGTGATAAGTCTCTTGCGTGCTATAAGGACAGGGGTTGATCTTGGTACAAAACAGGGCATGTGGCCCAGTGCTCAGGTGCTGATGTGCCCTTCCCCTCCCCCCGTAGAACGAGAGCAACAAGGGAAACTTTGAGAAGATGGTGGAGGCACTGAAGGGCAGCAAGGGGGGGAAGCGTATCGGCATTTTCAGCAAAGACAAGTTCCCCGGCGAGTTCATGAAGAGCTGGAGCGACTGCCTCAGCAAGGAAGGCTTTGAGAAGGTCTGCGGGGCTAGGGTAGCTGAGCCACGTGGGAGATTGGGGAGATTGGGTAGGGGGTTGGATACTGGTAACGGCCTGGTGACCGTCCCTGCCTCCCCCGCCCCGGTGCAGGTGGACATCAGTGCGGTCGTGGCCTACACCATTGCGGTGAAGGAGGATGGGGAGCTCAACCTAATGCGCAAGGCGGCTGCTATCACCTCTGAGGTGTTCAACAAGTTCTTCAAGGAGCGCGTCATGGAGATTGTGGATGCTGATGAGGTCGGTGGGGGCAGGGAGGAGGGCAGGTTGCACAGTTGCCCAGGCTTCAACTTGCCCCAGGAGCCACCCTGATTCTGTACACCTTACCTCACCCTGCAGAAAGTACGGCACAGCAAGTTGGCAGAGTCGGTGGAGAAAGCCATCGAAGAGAAAAAGTACTTGTCAGGAGCTGATCCCTCCACAGTGGAAATGTGCTACCCTCCCATCATCCAGAGCGGTGGCAACTACAACCTGAAGTTTAGTGTGGTCAGGTTGGTGTCTTGTGCTCCCCCCCTCCCCCCCAAAAAATTTGCACGATCATGCACGCAGGTGCAGTTCTTTCCTACAAAAAGAGTCCAGTGTTCTTCTACCCAGAGCCCCCCAGTCATCTTTCGCTGAGGTAGGAGAGAGGCCTCCCCACTTACAGCCCAGGTAGTGGGGTTTGTCTGGGTCTGTGCTACTCCTGCTGCCTGTTACCGAGTTCCAGCCCAGCTCTTTTTCTGTATGGTGCTTGCCAAAGACGCCTCCTGACAGTTGCTCCCCACCCTGACGCATTCTTTTTCTGACAGCGATAAGAACCATATGCACTTTGGGGCCATTACCTGTGCCATGGGCATCCGCTATAAGTCGTATTGCTCCAATCTGGTTCGCACCCTCATGGTGGACCCCCCTCAGGACATGCAGGACAACTACACCTTCCTGTTGCAATTGCAGGATGAGATGCTCAAGGAGATGCAGCATGGTGAGCTTGCAGGGAGGGTACCCAGCATGGGGCTGGCTGGGCTGGGGGCTAGGGGTGTAGAGGTAGGAGCATCAGGGCTCTGCCCACCACCCCTGTGGTGCTCACCCAGACTTGCCACCCTAGGTGTGAAACTGTGTGACGTCTACGCGGCTATCATGGACGTGGTAAAGAAGCAGAAGCCGGAGCTGCTGAGCAAGATCACTAAGAACCTGGGGTAAGAGATTGCCTCAGCCCTCCCTCTTCTAGTATTTGCCTACCTCTGGGTTTAGAGGCACCCACTCAGGTTTTGAGGCTGCTGGGGCAGGGAGCTGGCTCCTGCCACGGCGCTGGCAGCCACCCCTTCTAGCCTGGAGCACAGAGGGGGCTGCCCTGGTGTTGGGGCTTTGGGACGGGGGTGAGTGGTGGCTATGGGTGACATGGCTGCTCCGCTCTCTCTCTGCCCAGGTTTGCCATGGGCATCGAGTTCCGCGAGGGCTCCCTTGTCATCAACAGCAAGAACCAGCATCGGCTTAAGAAGGGTAAGTAGTGCCGAGCTTTGCGGGAGGGGCGCCACTCAAGCCTGCAGGTTGCAGGCACCAAAGTCGGCCCCTTTGTGTCCAAATCTCTTCTTCCTGCTACTGCATGGGGATATGCTACTACTACTAGCTTCCAGCCTGCCTCACCCAAACCCTGTGAGGCCCTGGCCCCACTCGCATGCTCTCTGCCATGGGGTTCCTTGAACTCTGTCTTGGCACTAGCTCAGTATATAAGGAAGGAGCAGAGGCCCCCTTGACAGCCCAGCCCCTTCCTTGGGTGACTGGTGGCTCTGTCCATCAGCGCATCCCATTTTTTCTCCTGTTGGGATCAGGGACAGCGCCCCCCACCCCCAGCCTTCACACAAGAGTAGGGTGAGCCCTAGGCCCATGCAGCTCCAGGGCTGGTGCTGTCTGACTTGATGGGGTCCTGTCTTACTTTCTGGTGGTCCCAGCCCCATCTAGTGACTCTGTGTCATGCGTCTCACAGGGATGGTTTTCAGCATCAACTTGGGTTTCTCGGACTTGACCAACAAAGAGGGGAAGAAGCCTGAGGAGCGGACGTACGCGCTGTTCATCGGAGACACCGTGCTGGTGGATGAGGTGAACATAGGATGGATAGAGAGAGCATGTGTTGAGGTAGAGGCTGCATCACTTTGTTGCATTGATCTTCCCGTTTCTTTTCTTTCTCAGGAGGGACCGGCCACTATCCTCACAGCTGTTAAAAAGAAGGTTAAAAATGTCGGCATCTTTTTAAAGGTGAGGCCAGGGTTGTTGAAGGGTTACAGGGTGTGGGGGAAGGTGGCAGGCAGGGAGCCAGGAGGGCTGGCCCTGGCAACGGTTTGGGATCATGTCAGGGAGGACATGGGAGCTGGGCTGGGGCCTGGGCTGCGAGCAGGCCAGTTTCGGGGCAGCATGCCTGGAGTGTTGCAGAGAAATGAAATCTGAGGGTCGGGGTGGTGGGAAAGGAACAGATCAGGGACATGGAGAGCTGATCTGGCTAAGGTTCAGGCAAGGAGGCTGCTTGGCCCCAGGCTGGCACCATCACTTGCACTGCTTGGTGTCGTTCCTCCCATGGGGGGCATTGGGGGAGGCTGGCGCTCTGAGCGGCATGTTTGTATCCTGCAGAACGAGGATGAGGACGAGGAAGAGGAGGAGAAGGACGAGGCCGAAGACCTACTGGGTCGCAGCTCTCGGGCGGCGCTGCTAACAGAGAGGACGCGGGTGCAGTTCCACCCTTGGGGCCCTGGGGGTCGGGGGACAGGGGCTGGTAGTCATGCTCATTTTGGGGCTGGGGCTGGTGCTGGGGTGAGCAGGCCAGGGCTGTGTACTAGAGCTGGGGTGGCCTGGCCACGGGGCAGGGCCTCACACTGCTTCTATCCTCCCACCCCCAGAATGAACTGACAGCAGAGGAGAAGCGCCGGGCCCACCAGCAGGAGCTGGCTGCGCAGCTGAACGAAGAGGCACGGCGGCGGCTCACAGAGCAGAAGGGCGAGCAGCAGATTCAGAAGTGAGCAGCAGGGGGCAGTCATGATACTTGTGGCATATGATAACGGAATGCTTTCAGCACATGCAGTAAGGGGGAGGGGGTGGCTGAGTCGCTGGGTTCAGCTGCTTCTAAATTTCCAGGTCCTGGTTTCTTGTGTTTAAGAGTTTTAGAAGAGCTGGCCAAGGTTTGTACAAGGCCTGAAGTACTGCAGGGTTGGTTGGAGGAATGATTTTTTGGGGGGGAGGGCCCCAAGAGCTCTGGGAGGTTCCAAGGGACTGTGTGACACCCGCACCCACTCTACACAGGGCTCGCAAGTCCAACGTCTCCTACAAGAACCCATCACTCATGCCTAAAGAGCCACACATCCGGGAGATGAAGATCTACATTGATAAGAAGTACGAGACGGTCATCATGCCGGTGTTCGGCATTGCCACGCCTTTCCACATTGCCACCATCAAGGTACAGCGCCAGAGCAGGGCTCTACCATGACACCCCCTTCAAGGGTTCGAGCAGGGGGAGGGACCTGCGGGCACTAGGCTGGGGTAGCTATTCTCTTTTTGACCCACATGACATCCCTGTCTCTCCCATGGCACAGAACATCAGTATGTCAGTAGAGGGTGACTACACCTATTTGCGCATCAACTTCTACTGCCCAGGCAGCGCACTAGGCCGCAACGAGGGGAACATCTTCCCTAACCCTGAAGCCACCTTCGTTAAGGAGATGTGAGTACCACCCCTGCAGCTATGTGCTCACCATGCATCCCTGTCCTGGGCTGGCTCCCTCTGAGTCATGAGAATGGCCCCTAGACCCAGCTGGGCTGGGGTTTAGTTCCTGGTTCCAGCACAGCCTAGCTGCATGGCCTAAGCCTCTGCCCTGCAGGTGGGAGAGGTGGGGAAGCGGCTGTGTTCGTCCCCAGCACCGAGTGTGTGGGGGAAAGCAGGGTCGTGATTGATGTGCCACCAGGGCACCGTAGACCCACAAACTGCCCTTGGCTGTGGTGAGGGCTGACCCCTCTTCCTTCCTGCAGCACATACCGCGCCTCCAACATGAAAACACCAGGTGAGCAGACAGTGCCAGCCCTCAATCTGCAGAATGCCTTCCGCATCATCAAGGAGGTGCAGAAGCGCTACAAGACCCGTGAGGCTGAAGAGAAGGAGAAGGAGGTGAGACCCTGGCAGGGCAATGACAGAGTGCGGGGGTGAGACAAGGGTGTAAGGGGAGGCACTGTGTGTGACCTCAGCTCTGCAGGGCCTTACTCCCTGTTGCTTGTTTCCCCAGGGCATCGTCAAGCAAGACTCGCTGGTGATCAACCTGAACCGCAGCAATCCCAAGTTAAAGGATCTCTACATCCGGCCCAACATTGCCCAGAAGCGGATGCAGGGCTCTCTGGAGGCACACGTCAATGGTATTGGGGGCTCGGCCTGGATCTGTACTCCTCCTCCCCCCATTCCTCCCTCTTCCTCCCCAAGCAGGGCACGGGGCCTTCAAACCAGCGGTGTCTGTGTCTGTCCTGGGCAGGCTTCCGCTTCACATCAGTGCGCGGAGACAAGGTGGACATCCTGTACAACAACATCAAGCATGCGGTGTTCCAGCCCTGCGATGGGGAGATGATCATTGTACTCCACTTCCACCTCAAGGTGATCCGAGTTTCCCCCTGCCACCCACCCCAGCATTGGCCGCAGGGACCCCAGCATTGGCATAACCATCCTGCACCTCCTTCCCTGACGCTCAGCCCTGGGAGCAGAGGGTGGTGGGCAGTCAGCTGTCACGTGGTTTTCCCAACAGGTGCCCTGCGTCCTGTACCCTGCCCTTTCTCCGGTGGGGGAGATATTCTGGGGGGCCTGTTGTGGGGGTGAGGACATTGCGGGGTTCGTGGCTATTCACCTGTCACCTCCCTGTCCTACTCAGAACGCCATAATGTTTGGGAAGAAGCGGCACACGGATGTGCAGTTCTACACAGAGGTGGGCGAGATCACTACCGACTTGGGCAAGCACCAGCACATGCACGACCGTGACGACCTCTACGCTGAGCAGGTCAGGCTTATGGGTGGGGGCATGGTGGTGGGGAGGGGGGCAGGGTGCTCTGCCCAGGGCAGAGGTGCTTCAAGATGGAGCCCTTGTGCTGGGTGTCAGCCTGATCCTGCTTCCCTGCCATAGATGGAACGCGAGATGCGGCACAAACTGAAAACAGCCTTCAAGAACTTCATCGAGAAGGTTGAAGCTCTGACCAAGGAGGAGCTGGAGTTCGAGGTGCCCTTCCGGGATCTGGGGTAAGGGGGCTGTCAGGGCCTTGTGGGGACTGGGGGAAGGGAGTAGGGACTGGGGGCATCATGGCCCTGCCGAGACCTGTGTGCTGCATTAGGGGATGCTGGGAGGCTCTGTCTCATGGCCCACATTGTCTTCCTGCTTGTGAGCTTGGTATGGTTAGGCCCTCGCAGGCCACGGAGGTGCTTGGGAGTTTCTCTGCCAGGCCCCCCTGTATGCTCTGGTCTCAGCTGTCCCTGGCCCTTGTCTCCTGCAGGTTCAATGGGGCCCCATACCGCAGTACCTGCCTACTCCAGCCAACCAGCAGTGCGCTAGTGAACTGCACCGAGTGGGTGAGTGTATGTGCACAGGGTTGGAGGTCCCTCCTTCAGCTCTGCACTTCCTAAACATTCACAGACGGAGTACTAGTCTCTCTTGTCTGCAGGGCAAAGGGATTGGGATATTCAGCTCTGGATTGTGTTGTTGGCAGGAGAGGGAGATGGGTCGCAGCTCTGTGCTTTCGGTTGGGGGGTGGGGGGAACTGGGCATGGTAGATGGGGGAGCGCAAAGCAGATCATGCCCCAGGAGTGGGGATGGGGGAGAGTCTTATAGGAGGCCTCTGCTCCCTGCAGCCCCCGTTTGTGGTAACGCTGGATGAGGTGGAGCTGATCCACTTTGAGCGCGTGCAGTTCCACCTGAAGAACTTCGACATGGTCATTGTCTACAAGGACTACAGCAAGAAGGTCACCATGATCAACGCCATCCCCGTCGCCTCCCTCGACCCCATCAAGGAGTGGCTAAAGTGAGTGCCTGGGTCAACCCCACCGCCACCCCCCAACCTGCTGCACCCCAACCCCTCTGGCAACCACTCGCTCTCCCCTTCCCCGCAGCTCCTGCGACCTGAAGTACACAGAGGGGGTGCAGTCCCTCAACTGGACCAAAATTATGAAGACCATTGTGGACGACCCTGAGGGCTTCTTTGAGCAGGGCGGCTGGTCATTCCTGGAGCCCGAGGGAGAGGTATGGGGCAGGGTGGGGGCTACCCTTGTGGGGGGGGGGAGCTTTTCCATTCTCTGGGCGAACCCCATGCCTAGGCCTTGCAAGGCTTGGCCAGGGTCACACAGCTGTGGAGAGAACCCAGGAGTCCTGACGCTGCCCTCCTGTCTCTCCCCAGGGCAGTGATGCAGAAATGGCGGAGTCAGAGTCCGAGAATGAAGACGAGACCTTTAACCCCTCAGAGGAGGAGTACGAGGAGGAGGAGGAGGATAGTGATGAAGACTACTCATCAGAGGCTGAAGAGTCAGGTATGGGGCTGCTGCAGGGCCAGGCTCCTTGCTCCAAGTAGGTGTCCCCCTGCCTGTGGCTCCCCCCCAGGCCACCCATCCCCGTGGGCCAGGGTAACTGCCCCCATGGGGCTGGCTCTGACCCCAGTACCTGCTTGCAGATTACTCCAAGGAGTCCCTGGGCAGCGAGGAGGAGAGTGGAAAGGACTGGGACGAGCTGGAGGAGGAGGCTAGGAAAGGTGAGTGGGGGCTGCCTAGCCCCAGCCTGCTTGGGACATCCCTGGGCCCAACTGCCCCCTTCCTGTGCATGGGCTCAGCCAGGATAGTTTGGGGGGGGCCCTGCCAAGCCCTAACCCCTGCTCTGCCCCCCCCCCTAACCCCTGCTCCCCCCCCCCCCCCAGCGGATCGGGAGAGCCGGTACGAGGAGGAAGAGGAGCAGAGCCGCAGCTTGAGCAGGAAGAGGAAGGGCCCAGCCCATCGTTCCAGCCGCTCCCACGGCCGCAGCCCAGGGCGCAGAGCCGTGCCCCCCAAGAAGAAGAGGAAGTAGGCACTGGACTCTGACCCCACCGCTGCCCGGGCATGGGCCACCCGCCCCCACATCACCCGCCCCACGGACTGCGTCTTCGCTCCCTTTTTTTTTCTTTCCAATTCACCCCATTTTGTTTCTTGAGTTTTGTTTTTTTTTTCTGGCTATTTGTACGGACCAATCGGCTGTGAGGATTCCTGGCCCCACCCGCCCGACACCATGGACATGTATGCAAGGAGGAAGAGGCCAAGGCCGGCCCCAGGTGTGGGGGGCAGTCAGGAATGTGCCCCTGCTCCCTTCCTGCCCTGGCACCGCTGTGGCACACAGGGACGCATTGCCAGGTGCCCGCCTGCCCCCTGCTGCGTTCCCAAAGCGAAGAGGGTGGGAGGCAGGATCTGCGGACACAAGGGGCTTCAGGTCTGTGGGGAGCAGGTGCTGGGGGAGGGAGTGGGGTGCATTATGACTGCCTGGCTGGGCTGGGGGTGGGGGTGGGGGTGTCCCAGCCCCAGGGAAGTGCAGGGGAGGTTCCTTCCCTGTGTCTGCCGGCGTCTGGCTCTGTCCCATATTTATGTGTCCCGCCACAGCCAAGTAGAGTCTCTGGCAGGAGCGCGGTTCTCGTCCCGGGTGGGTTTTATTGTGGCCCTGTCCTGTCCCCCATCCCCCTCTCCCTCACGCACTGAGGTGGGGAGGGGTGCGGGGCAAGGGGGGGGCCCCTGCTCTGTTTCGTTTCTCGTAGCCGGTAGCTCTTGGTATTTTTGACTTTAGAAGAATTGAACCGATGAATAAAACTGTTTTTTGTAAGTTCACTGTTCCCAGGCCCTGCCTCTGTCCAGGGATGGTCCCAGGACTGCTGCTTTCACGTCAGAATCTCCGTACCCTCTGTTGTTGGGCACAGGGCAGGGAGGTGCAGCTGGCCAAGGTCAGTCCTGCTTCTCTGTGTGGGCTTGGTGCCCGCCCTCCCAATAGACAGCACGGAGGGCAGCAGCTGCTTCCACAGAGACCTTCAGTTTCCCAATGATGGAGCCTGGGGCCAGGGAGCTGAAAACTGCCAGGGGAAAGGAGAGCAGAGGTTGGGATGTGCTCATCCAGGGACGTCCCCATGTCTCGGGTGGGGGGGTAGTGCAGGACTCGCCCTGGGGACAGGCAAGGGGTGCTAAAGTTGCTCACCATCAAGGTTGTGCTCCAGCACATCGTTGCCTGTCCACAGAATCTCACGCAGGTCCACGTAGGCGATGCCTAGGTCCTCACACTCCCCTCCCGTCCCGGGCAGGGGTTCACTCACCACCACAAACTGCAGCCTGCAACGGGAGCATGGTGCCCTCAAGAGCTGCAGGGCATGCAGTCTGCCCTGCTGTGCTCTGGGTACAGCCGCAGACACGAGCATGATGAATGCCATATAGGGTGGTTGCTTCCCTCTGGCACAGCCCAGCTCTGGTCCTGCCCCAAGGTGTATGTGCTACCTGGGTGTCCTGTGTGCACAGTAAAGATGGGGATGGCTGCATGGCTCCTTGTCCCTGGAGCTGCCTGTCTGTACCAAACCCCTCTTGTTTCTGTGCTGAGGATGGAGACATTCAGCCTCCCCTCAGAATAGTTGCACACTGTTCTGCCTGCCTTGGGGGCAGAACTTGAGGCTGGACCTAGGATGCACTGCACAAAGGTCCCAGCACCAGGGAAACCCTGTGGCTGTGTGTGTCAGCATCTGGCCAGCCCAGCTGCAACCTGGGGGCCACTACCTTGCATCCCGGGTAGGGGAGTGCAGCCAGTTCTGGCGTCAAGAGCTGGACAAGCTTGGAGAGAGGCAGCGTTGCATCCCCTCTGGCGCGGAGCTCAGGCCCTTGGAGTGAGTGACTGGGGGCAGGGAGCCACAGGGTGCCACATGGGGTATTCCCAGCACTCACCAGCTCTGCTGTGGTTCCTCTGCCTGCAGCATAGCTTGGAGGGTCTCCTGCTGGGCGCTGGCCAGGCCCATGGCCAGGTCAATCACTGCAGGCAAAGAGGCACAAGGACACTAGTGCTTAGGGGGCAGGAATGGTGCTTACTGTGCAGAGGGGCTGATGCCAACATCCTTCCTTCCCTTGAGGCTGACACAGCCCCCAAGGGCCGTTCTCTCCAGTGCAGCAGCTGAAGCAGCCACACCAGAGCCGGGGTGTGGGGGCTGTTTGCCAGCTGCTACATGCCATGTCCTACATGGAGGACATGGAGCTGTCCTGGTAAATTGGGCAGTAACTGATGGTTCCCCCCCACCACCCTGGCGCCAGCCCCCTCACCCTTGCTGAAGTGGAAGTAGAGCCGCTCTCCGACGCGGGGCAGGCGCAGGGACACGGGGGTCTCGGTCTCAGCCAGGGGCACACCAGGGAAGCGGTACTCCACGTACACCCGCTGGCCGCTCGCCATGGCCTCAGGCCCAGGCCACAGGCTCAGTGAGATGACCTCAATGCGGATCCGTGCTGCAGCCTGGGCAGGACAGCACATGGGAATGCTGGGCCTGGCTCCTTGTCCCTACCCGCTCCCCCACCCTGCCTGGCCAGCCCCTCCTGCTCCGCCAGGCCTTGCACCCAGCTGAACAGGGAGTGGTGGGAGGTGGTTACCGTCTTCAGGGGTCTCTGGGGCTCAGCCCCCACCACGATCTCGTCGCTGTCCGTGGTCGGCGCATCACTGCTGCTCTCCAGCTCCTGGTCGGCATTGGCAGGGGCTGTGGGGGACAGATGCCCTAGCTTGTTTCTCCCGCTCTGCTTGAGGCTCCGCAGCCTCTGTGGGTGGTGGGGAAGCTGTGCTGGCATGTGGCTGCCCTGTGCCCTGGCCTGTGTGCAGGGCCAAGCCGGGGGGGAAGGGAGCAGTCCAGCAGGGGCTGCAGGGCCCAGGTTGGGGGGCATTGGCTATGGCAAGGGGAAAGTGAGGGCAGGTACCGGTGTCCTTGGTGGGGGTGGCTGTGTCTGGCATTGGGGACTCAAGCTCTGAATGCTGGGATGGGGTTGGGGATTTGCTCATGACCTCCTTGCCCGTCTGCGTCGCCTCCTCCCTGCTGGGCCGTGCCGCTGGTGCCACCTCTCCAGCCTGGGCCTCCCTCTCCTTGGCCTGCACAGAAATGAGCCCCACCAGCTCTAGGACTGGCTGCAAGGTCCACCCCCCCACATTGAAGTGGCACCATGGGGGCTGGCTGGGCAGAGGGAGTGTTGCGCAGGGGGTGGCTGGGCTTGCAGTGCCTGCTCCTAGGGCCCCTGGCTCTCACCTGGGCCAGGGGTTCCTGTGCAGCCACAGCCTTGCTCTCCTGTGCGGCATGTTTGGCAGGCATCAGACCTGGACTGGGCCGGGCAGGGCCCCCCATGCCCTGGTCCTGCCTCAGCCGCTTCATGGTGTATGCATCGGGCTTGGGGGCTGAGACACGGAGTTTCCTTTGCCGGGGCTCAAGCTGCTGCATGGCAGTGCTGGGAGCACCCAGGCCCTGCAACGGGGGGTTGGGACACCGCAACGTCAAATGTAAGCCTCACATCTCTGCCCATCTCCTCCCTTGGGACCCTGTGCCCCTGCTATAGTCTGGTACCCTCCTGTACCTGGCCATGCAGCGGAGCCCCTTCCTCCTTTGTTAGCTGCTCCCGGGGCTGGCAGCAAGGGTGCTCCTGATTCGCAGCTCCTGGTGCCAGGATGCCCTCAGGGGACAGGTACTGGTGCTGCCACTCCAGGCTGAGATTGATGGAGCCATTGGGGTGCCCACATGGGTCCACGAGCACAAAATCACCTGCAGGTTGGAGGCAGGAAGGAGTGAGTAGTGTGGGGAGGAGCCTGGCATGCCCAGGCCAGGTGCCAGGGAAGCAGATCCTGCTGTGGCCAGCACCCACCTGTAATGCTGTGCCCACGGGCCAGGGGCAGCAGTGGGATGGCCGCCTTGCCCAGGTAGGCATCGGGCTGGGGGTCCTCATCGTCAAAGACATACACCCAGAGGTTCTCGTGCCGCAAATAGCGGTGCAGCTCTGGCGTGGGGCGCACGGGGAAGGGCTGCAGGTCGCTGAAGTGGGGGCTGTGGCTGGCAGGCACGATGGGCGTGTCGTGGTCGGGGAAGGTGAAGAACCGGTACATGGCGTAGGGGCTGGGCAGGGCTCCCAGGCAGCGACTCCTCAGCCCCCGGCAGCCCCTGACCCACCCCTGCAGCTCGTTCTGCAGCCGCTCTCTGCCCGGCGGCTGGAGGGGAGGGCAGAGAGGGTGAGGACAGGGCAGGGGCTTGATGGCACCATCCCTGCTGGAGCTGCACCCCTGACTGGCATCTCCTGTCCCACGCACTCCATGGTTCTGCTCTGCCCTGACAGCAGGGCTTCTGGCACATGTGTCCCAGCACTCAGCACTCACCCCATCAACACTGCACGGCTGCCAGCTGGACGAAGGTGCCCCCACCTGGGGCACACTGGCTGACAGGTAGCCCAGAGCTTTGGTGCGTTCCTGCTGCAGCCGCAGGCCCTGCTGCAGGGGTGGGCGCAGCCGCAGCCAGTGCTGCAGCAGCCCGTAGTCCTCGCTGCTCGGACCTAGGTGCAGGAGAAAGTTGTGGGGGGCCCGGAGCTGGGCCTTGGGAACGCAGACATGAGAGGGGCTTTGTTGTGGGGCTCCCCTGGCAGGGAGAGCATTGGCTCAATCAGGAGAGAGCAGGACTCACCCTGCAGTGCAGCGGTGGCATGCACCCGCTGGGTAGTGGCCAAGGCCTCGGCCAGGCGCAGGTGGCAGGTGGCCAAGGCACGGTGCTCAGTGCCCACGGCCACATGGAGGTCAAGGCGGGCAGCGCTGCCCTGCAGATAGTGCAGCAGCAGGGGCTCAGCCCGCAGAACGTAGCGGGAGGTGAAGCCGTAGCGGGGCCGGGCACCATGGCCCAGCGGCGTGGCGTGGGTCTCAAAGTCGTACACAGCGTAGGTGCAGAAGGTAGTGGGCTGTGCATCCCCCAGTACCCGCAGTGCTGCCCCTGACAGTGATGCCCCCACCACATGCAGCTCCAGCAGGCTCTCGCCACGGCCCAGCCGGACCCCTGCCCCATCGCCCTCGCTGTCCCGGTTGCTGGCAGGCGGGAGTGGCTGCGTCCCATAGGCCACATCCTTCAGCTGCTCTGAGGGGTGGGTAGGAGAAGGAGAGGCATGAGGAGCTGCCAGATCAATCCCTCCCCTTTCCCACTGTCCAGAGGGGCTGCCAGCCTGCTACTTGCCCCCATGCTCTCCCTGGCAGCCCCCTGCCAAGCCCTGCCCAGCCCAGGTGCTGCGCCCAGATGCTGGCTGGTGTGGAGGGGGCTTTGGGGGGGTTGGTGCTGGGCTGGCTCACCCTCCAGCTGGTGGAGACGGGTGCTGCGCAGGTCCAGGAGCCGTGCCAGTTGCTGTTGCTCCTCCTCATACCCCCGTGCCGCCTGCTCTGCCTGCAGCATTGTGCCCTCCAGCTCAGCCTGCAGCAGCAGCAGCAGCATAAGGTATATCACTGCCATCCTGGTACCCTCCTGCCTCAAGCCCCAGCTTGGGACTGACAGCAGCACAGGGCTTGGGGCACTGCCACCCCTGGGATCCCCCAACCTTCTTTGCCTATGACAGTGTCCCAGGGCACATCATTGCCATGCCGGGGTCTCCCGTCTCTCCCACCCCAGCACAGGGTGGAGAGAAGGGGTCAGGGACCTGCCAGCTTAGTGCACCTGCCCTGTTCCCTCAGCCCCTGCCACCTCCCCATCCCTCATCACCCATGTGCCAAGGGATGGCACCACACCTGGTAGTCACGGTTGATGCGGTGCTGCAGGATCAGCATGTCCCGAGTCTTCTCCAGCTCTAGCACGGTCTCGGCATGGGCAGCCTCTGTCTCACGAAGCCTCTGGCTCAGGCTCTGCCGGACAAGCAGGTCCTGCTGCCCTAGGCCTGCCAGGGGCCCATCCAGGCTGGGGGGCTGCAGGGAGCAAGGACACAATGCCCTGAGTGGGGGGCACTGCCATCCCAGGGGCCTGATTCCCCCACATCCCCTGCAGGGCTCCAGGCAACCAGGTCTATCTATGTCCTTATCCCTGACCACTGCACAGAGCCCAGGGTCCTGCCCTTTGCCCTCTAAATGGTGGGGCACACCTGATGCCGTACTGCCCATTCTCTGTATTGCACCCACCTGGGCTGGGGGCAGCACTGGGCCCTGCTCCGTGGTCTGGCTGGCCTTGTCCTGGAGCCGCTCCCCATCCTGCGCAGGCACCAGGAGCAGCTGGCTGGAGTCCTGCTGCAGCACCTGGCTCTGTGCTGGGGTGTGAAGGAGGCTTAATGTGGGGAGCCAGGCCTGGTCCCAGGGAGGAGGGAAAAAGGGAAATCCCTGGGCTGTGCTCTGTCTCCCGTCTCCCCCAGCCCCATCTCCATGCCCACAGCCTGCCCACCTTGTGCTGCCTCCAGCTCCGCCAGCAGCACCCTCTTCTCCGCCAGAGCCGTACTCAGCTGCTTCTCCAGCTGGGGGGTGTCCTGCCGAGGCAGCTGCCCGCTGTCCAGAGCACTGTGGGGTGAGGGGCAGTGTGTGCCAGGCCTCCTTGCAGCCTTGCCCTCAAGGCCAGGGGCACCCTCAGGGCCAGGGCATTCTCCGCCAGGACCCCACTGCACTGGGGCCCAGCCTGGCAGGGACCCAGGGCTGTGTTGGGCTCTGGGGGCTTTCTCCCCCTTGTTGTCCAGTGCCAGGCCACTGGGTAGAAACTGTCGCCTTCAGGTATAGTTGCCCCTGCCCTGGACAAGACTGCAGAGAGGTCAGGTAGGGTCTTGGAGTGGGAGGGCTAGTGTAACTTGACTCTGGGATCTGGCCCCCATGGAGAGTACAGCTGCCAGGGGCTGAGACCCCTTTCCAAGTGCCCGCACATGGCTTCACCTTGCCAGCAGGTTGTCATGGGCCTCCTTCAGCAAGTCCCGCTCCTTCTCCAGATCCCTGACTCGCTCCTGCAGCTGTGGGAGTGAAGATCAACCACCCATGCTCAATCCATGTAGTGGGGGTCAAGTGCCAAGTGCTCTCTCCTTGGGAAGGGACTCGCTCCCCTCTGCTCCCTGACCCCGAGAAACCCCCCGCAGTCAAAGAGGGGAGGCAGGGCAAGGGCTGCCAGGGAGGTAGGGTGCCCCACACACCAAGGCTGGCTGTGCTGCCCCCTTCCATGGTGCCCTTACCTCCTCCAGAGCCCGGTGCAGGGCCGGGACACCCTCCAACCGGCTCTCCAAGGCTGCCGCTCTCTGCGTCTGCCCCTTCAGCTGGGTGCTGAGCTCTTCTGCCTGGGCCAGCAATGCGCTGCTGGCAGCTCCTAGAACCTCCTGCCTCTAGTCAGGGAGGGAGAAGTTGGCCTAAGTGGCAGAGCAGGGTCCATGCTCTCCAGGCTGGGCATGGAGGGGAGGGATGAACAGGGCAGAGCCCAAGTGGGTCACAGTGGGGCCCATCTTGGCCAAGGCGGTGTGTCTGGCTTGCCCGGTACTCACCTGCTGGAGCTGGCTCTCGTAGGTCTGGCAAGGGAAACCATGGAGCACAGTCAGCGTGGCCAGGCAGGGTGTTCCCAGCCAAGCCCTGATGAAGCCTGGGCTAGACAAGCTTTGCAGTGCTTGGAGCTATCCTGCCCCAGCGCCACAGCCAGCTGCACCCACCCCATTGCTTCTAGTCACTCCCGCAGGGGTGGCAATGGGGGGCAGGCATGGGCTGGCGCTCTAGGTTCCCAAGGAGTTGGGCTCTGCAGAGGTCTCTCCCACCCACCCCGGGATTCGGAGGGGGTCACGCACCTGCTGCAGCTCAGTGCATCGGGCCGTGGTCACGGCCAGCTCCATGTCACGCTCCTGCAGGAGCCGCTGCAGGCGGATCAGCTCCACGTTCCCACGGATGGCAACTCTGAGGGGCACAGGGGCATCGTCCCACCACTCCCAGCCTCCCCCCGCAAGCTCCCAGCGTCCCTCACGGGGCCTGACTGAGCAGCTTCCTCCCATAGGCATTGCACCATGCACATTCGGGGCCGTACCTGCACTCTGAGGCCTGCCAGCGGCTCTGCCAAGACGGCTCCATCTCACCCCGGAGTGGGGACTCAGAGGCCAGCTCCTCCAGCCCCAGACCGCGGGTGCTGTGGGGAGCAGGAGTCAGGTCAGAGCACAGACGGGGGGTCACAGGGACAAGGGAGCCCAGGGCAATCCTGCCCTTCCCGCAAAGGAGATGCTGGCCACATGACACACACGTGTCACTACAGAACAGGATGTCTCTGCTGCTGTGGACGAGGCCTCGGGCACGTACTTCATTGCCTAGGCAAAGCGGAGGTGGGTTGCCTGGCCTGCTGTCCTACAGCTGGCCCGTGGAGGAGGAGGAAGTGGTTTCTTTTATCGGTCTGCAGGGAGGAGGGTTGGAGGGTGACATTTCCCAGCAGCAAAGCTCAGAGCAAAGGTGTCAGGGACAAGGGAACCGAGCCAGCAGGCCTGGGGCAGAGGCGGTTCCAGGGTGAGGTGGACATCAGTGGCAGCAGCAGCAGGCGGAGAGGTTTATCTGCCCTGCAGCCTGGGGTGCCAAAGGGGCCACATCCATCTGGAGAGACCACGTGCAGCCATCAGATGCTGCCAAGGGATCTCAAGGCAGCAGCATGAGCAGGTAAGTGTGTGCATCTTCTATCTGTGCCTCATGCTACCCCGTAAAAAGCGCTGGCAGCTCAGACCCGGACTGGAGGGTGCGCAGAGCATGAGGGTGCTGGGCAGCTGGAGGCAAGGAATAGGGCCATGGCAGCAGGCAGAGGGCTGGGGTGTTTTGGCTTCACCTGGCATGGGTGGGGGCAGGTCAGAGGCAGAGCTCTGTTGTGCGGGGGGTGCCTGTCCCCCGCACAGCCCAGCAGGCTGTGGGTCCAGTGGGACCCCAGGCACAGCTGGGGGAAGACACAGCCAAGCCATGTGGGTACATGGGACCTCCCTCAGCCCCGGGCTAGAGACCAGCGGAGCTGGGCCAGGGGCATAAGGCAATTTTCCTGGGCTAGAAGCACCTGATGGGGAGCACGAAGCAGCTCAGAGCCCACAGAGGACCCAGGGCTTCTCAGGGTGCAATTGGGACACCTGGGAGAGCGGGCAGAGGGACTCACAGGCTATCCAGCGCAGCTCCAGGTTCCTCTTTGCTGTGGTCTCTGTACTGCGGAGGCGCCGTGTGTGTGTGTCTGGCCTCTGGACCCTGCATGCGCACACCTGCAGTCAGGAAGGAGAGGTGATGGGGATGGGGCTATGCATTCATGGCCTCCCCCTGCCCCCAGCACCCAGTCCTTTCCTTACAGAGACCAGGTCATGGATCTCCCCCACCCCACAACAGGATCTCAGGGTGCAGCAGCCATTTGCTGGCCCCTTACCTCTGCGCTGCCGCTCAGGCCCCCTCCCGCTGGCTGTGTGTGCCCGCCGCAGCCCCGTGTCCACCCGAGCTGGGATGTGGCCGTAGAGGCCATGGTGCTTGCAAGCCCCGAGCTGCAGCTGCTGCTTGTAGGCGAGCAGGCGGCCCCGCAGCCCCTCGTTGCGGTGCTCCAGCTCCCGCACCCGCGCCTGCAGCTCCTCCAAGGCCTCCTCGAGCTCCAGGTCCCGGCTGGCCCGATGGGCTGACGGCCCCAGCTGGCGTGCTGCCCGCCGGTGCTCCTGCGTGAGCCTCATCAGCCTGGCACCAAGCCTGGGGTGAATGGGGCAGTGGGAACCTGCACCCATGCCTAGCTCCCAGTCCAAACAGGCCTACACCCCTGCCCTGCTTACCTATCACCTGCCAGTCCCAGCAGAGAGAAGGAGTGCCTGAGCACTCCCCAGGGAGGGAGGGATCTTCTGGAAGGGCTGGACATTTTTAAATCTGCATGTCCAGATGCCCTCCACCCAAGGGTGTTGAGGGAGCTGGCAGGGGTCATCGCGGAGCCTTTGGCCCGGCTGTATGAGCATTTGTGGTCATCTAGCCAGGTGCCGGGGGATTGGAAACTGGCTAATGTGGTCCCAATTTTCAAGAAAGGGAAGAGGGAGGACCCATGTAACTATAGGCCCGTAAGCCTCACCTCGGTCCTCAGGAAGATCTTGGAGAGAATCATCAAGGAGCACATCTGTGGGGGACCAGCTGGGGAGATCATGCTCAGGGGCAATCAGCATGGGTTCATCAAAGGCAGGTCCTGCCTGATGAACTTGGTTGCTTTTTATGACCAAGGAACTAAATCCTTGGATGATGGTGTCGCCGTGGATGTAGTCTCTCTAGACTTTAAGAAGGCCTTTGACACTGTCTCTCACCCCATCCTCATCAATAAATTAAGCGACTGTGGCACTGATGCCTGCACAGTTGGATGGGTAAAAAATTGGCTGATGGGGCACACCCAGAGAGTAGTGGTGGATGGGTCGTACTCAACCTGGCGAGATGTGAGCACTGGGGTACCTGAGGGCTCAGTCCTCGGGCCCGCACTGTTTAACATCTTCATCAGTGACTTGGACGAGGGGGTGGAAAGCACGCTGTTCAAGTTTGCTCATGACACTAAGATGTGGGGCGAGGTGGACACACTTGAAGGGAGAGAGAGGCTGCAACTAGGTTTAGACAGACAACAAAAGTGGGCAGAGGAGAATAGGATGGGGTTCAACATAGACAAATGCAGGGTGCTGCACCTGGGGAGAAGGAATCCACAGCATACATACAGGCTGGGGAGTTCCCCTCTTGAAAGCACAGAAGCAGAAAGGGATCTTGGAGTCATTATTGACTCCAAGATGAACATGAGCTGTCAATGCCAGACCGCAGCCAGCAAGGCCAACCATACCTTGTCATGCATCCAAAGATGTATCACAGGTTGGTCCAGAGAGGTGATACTTCCCCTCTATGCGACATTGATCAGGCCACAATTGGAGTACTGTGTCCAGTACTGGGCACCGCACTTTAAAAAGGATGTGGCCAGCCTGGAGAGAATTCAGAGGAGGGCCACCCGCTTGGTGAGAGGGCAGCAGGAAAGGCCCTACGAGGAGAGACTGAGGGACCTGAATCTGTTCAGCCTTGGCAAGAGGAGGCTGAGGGGGAACCTGGTGGCTGCCTACAAACTCATCAGGGGAGATCATCAGCAAATAGGAAGATCCCTATTCTCCCCAGCACCACCTGGGGTGATGAGGAACAATGGTAATAAGCTGATGGAGAATAGGTTTAGGTTAGAGAACAGAGGGCAATATTTTACAGTTTGGGTGGCCAGAATCTGGAACCAACTTCCTAGAGAAGTGGTCTTTGCCCCTACCTTGGGTAAATTCAAAAAGAGGTTAGATGATCACCTGTCTGGGGTCTTGTGAACCCAGCATTAGGGGGTCAGGCTAGATGGTCTGTTCAGGTCCCTCCTGACCCGAGCTACTATGAAACTATGAGGAAAGTGGGGAGTGCTTCGAGGGCTCTACTCATACCTCTTGATCCTGTCCTGCTGCTTGCAGGCAAACTCCTTGAGCAGCAGGTTCTGGTCATGCAGCCGCAGGAACCTGTCCTCCAGCTCCTCCCGACTCACCCGGCTTAAGTGCTGCCGCGCCGGCATGGCTGGCTCTGAAACCAGGGGCAGGGCGTGAGGGCCCCTCTTGGGACCAGTGGGAAGGGAGCCTGGGCCCCAGATGCTGCCCATGGGAAGGAGACCGTGCTGGGAGGCTAATGGCTGGAAGGGGACTGTGGCAGGAGGCAGCAGGGGTGTGGGAGGAGAAGGTGTGCCCTGCTGGTGCCCAGCTGCAGGCAAGGGGCTGCCCTGTGCCACACAGGTATGTCTGCTGCATGCAGGCAGGGATCCTTGCCCCCATAACCACCCTGCTCTGCACCTGGGACCGGTTCATGCTCACCTCTCAGCCAGGTCCGCAGCGCCTGAGCCTTTGCTGGGGGAGCAGCAGCTGACACATCTGGGGAGACAAAAGCAGGGAGGACCCCCGGCGTGGCATTAAACCAGTGCTGTGTCGTGGGTGCCCAGAGGCAGCAGAGGGCAAGCCTGAGCTGGGGGAATAAGGGGCAAGGAGAGGCATGGAGGGGCCTGGGGTGTTGTGGCTGTGATGTCCCCGCGTGGTCCCTGTGCTGTTGGGGAGGTGGCTCGGAGACCGCAGCGCAGAGCAGCGAGGGACCTGGGGTCTCAGCCCTACGTTGTCCAAGGGATGCCATCCTGACCTTGTATTGCTGCAATCACCAAGGGCTGGTCTGTGTCTCTGACAGGCAGGTCCCCGGCCGTCTCGTCCAGCAGAAGTAGGGCCATGGGGGGCTGGGCCTGGGAGGGAGGGCACATGCCGCGCTTACCTGTGGGCCTTCAGCGAGATCCCAGCCCCGGTGCCTGGCTGGGGAGGGGCAGCTGGGGGGGGACCCTGCCTTCCACCAGGCCTTGAGGGGACCGGTGGGAACAGACTCCTGCCTGCTGCATCCCCACCTGGGCACCAGGAGACGTGCCCCTGTCCCGGGATTCCCCCTGGGTGTCTGCCTCCAGCCTGTCTCACCATAGCCTCCACCCCAGCTGCCCGGTGCTGTGTCACTGCCCGAGCCCTTGCTGCCTGCCCCGCCGGAAGGACGGGGGATTTTCTGCCCTGCTAATCTGCTGCCATCTGTCAGTGGCCCAAGTCCCTGCCCTGGGGCCCGGGCCCCACGTGGAAGGGGCGACGACGGGCACAGCAGCAAGATGCCCCCAGGGGAGACAGAGCTGCTGTGAGCTGGACTGAGCAGCCAACTCCTTTGCACCCCTAGCTCCCCCAAAATCCCTCTTCACTGAGCCCCGGTCCTAGGATCCCTGCAGCCACTGCGTTGCTCGGTGGATAATTTTCCTGGCTGACACTGAACAAGGGCAGGGCAGCCCCCTGGCCCTGACTCTCCCAGCCCACCGTGTGCTGTAGACTTGTCTTCTCTCTACTCCTTTGGGGTGGGCTGTTTGTGCCTGTTCCCCGCTCTGCCCTGCAGCACCTGCTGCCCTGCACTCCCTCCCTGACCCCCCCTGAGAGGTCTCCGTGTGAGGGGCAGCAGGGCCAGGGACATGTCTCCCCAGACAACTGGGCTCTGGGTGCTTGTACACATGATGCCTAGAATCGGGGCTGTCTCCTTGTGCCCTAGGCTGAGCCTTTTGCACGATGCCCAGGTGTTGTGGCCCCACTCATGGCCTGCGTGGGGTCTGTACAAGGTCCTGGCCCCTCACGCTACTCCTGGCTCCATCCCTCTGCCCCAGCACACTGCCCCAACACACTCCTCCTGCCTCCCTCTTGGGAAGGAGGCAGACAATCCTCTGTAATCTGGCACCGCATAAGCTGATTAGGCTGCAAGGAGGGAGCATGGGGGTGATGGAGGAATAGGTGTCACCACCTTGGGCAGTCTGAGGTCAGATGGGCCAAATCCTTGTGATCTGAGGTGGGGTTGGTCAACTGTATGATGAGGCTGCTGTGAGAGTGTGAGCCCTGAGTTGGGTGGGATGGGTGCTTTGCTGGGGACAGATGAGCCTGGAGACCCAGGAGAGCTGAAGCAGCATGGAGATGAAGGGGACAGGGGGTGAAGCTAGCCTGGGATAGGGCAGGGCTCCTCGGTGATGCCAAGAAGCCCCTTTGGAGTGGGGCTCTGTTAGGCTGGGAGCTCTGCTCCAGGTCCCATTAATCTCTCTCAGCAGAGAAGAGCGCGGGAAGAGTCTGGCCAAGGAGAAGAGGAACAAAGCAGCTGGGTGTCTCGGGGGCCCCAGCATGTGCACGTGTGTGCACGGGGGCCAGGGGGCTTGGGCAGCGTGTACTCAGGGCACGTGAGCATGTCTTTCTCATCCCATCACTGTTATAAGTTCTCTTTGTGGTCAGGAGCAGAGCAGCACTTGCTCAAAAGCAGCCTGTCTGCAAAGGTCACCCCGTGTTTTGTGGCTGGGCAATGCACCCCCCTCCCTTGCAGACTGCCTCTGTTACACCCCGCTGTGAGAGCCAGTCCTGACCTCCCAGCCCAGGTCCTAAAAACAGGAGTCCCCTCACCGGCTGTCACAGTGATCCCAATCCTTCTGCTGCAGAGGGGGAAAGGGGACAAGAATCAGCATCTCTGGGGTCATAAATCTACCCCCCCGGCCCCGGGAGGCTTTGTCTGCCTCTGTTACCAGCCGCTGAGACCACGTCCCAAACCCCCTAGAGATGCAGTGGTGGTGGGAAGAGGAGAGCAGGGGGCTGGAGGACGGTCCTGCTTGGCCATCGCTGTCCCTCCTGGCTCCTCTGCGGGAGTCCCAGCTGGGCCAGGACAAACAGGGCAGCCCCTAGCTCCTCTGCTGACCTGTCCATGAGGCTTGACTCAGTTTGAGATTCCCGGCCCCCAGGACATCATGCTACGACCAACCCAGCTTGTTATGCAGGCAAAGCACTGGAAAGCTTCGTCCTGGAAACGACTTGACTGACCTGGGGCACCGCTGGGCTGATGTCCTGGGGAAGGGAAACCCCATTCCTTGACCCAGAGTCTTGGAGGATTCCTCACTCCTTCCCTGGGGCACCTCGGCTGGCCAAGGGACACCTCAACCTGCCCAGTGGTGGGACCCCCATGTCATGGGGAGGACATGCATGGTGGCACTTGTCCCTCACTCACGCCTTCCCCTTTTCTGCTCTTCCGTGTGAAAAGGGCAGGCTCTGGTGCGAAGTTCTCGGTTCCCACCTTATATGTGCTCTTTCCCTGTGTGCTTTCTCCTGCTTACCACATCGCGGCTGTCTGCAGAGATCTCTCAGTGTCACGTAACTGAACCACAACCGTACGTGTTTGAAACCACTGAGAGACACCAGCTTGGAGCCAGAGCGCAGCGCCGAGCTGTCACCACACACCAAAGCAGCAGCAGGATCTCAAGGTAAGTGCTTTATGGGGCTCTCTGTCCTTACCCCCATTTGCCCAAGGAGCAGAGGCCAATGACCATCACCCACGTGGCCGTGCTGACCTTGGCAGCACCGCAATTGTCTGCAGCCCATGGAAGTGCAGGGGGTGGACCAGGCTGCGATAGCGCTCTGCAGCAATGAGGCACAGGAAGCCGTTCTTGGCATAGAAGTTTGTGACAGCGGGGGTCCGACCTGATGATGTATTTAAGTCCCTTCCGACCCTAAGTACTATGCTTCCTTTCCCCTCTCCTCCCCTGAGCTCCCAGGGAAGCCAGCAGGACCCTGCTTGATTTCCCCAGCACAGCTCAGAAACACGCTGCCTTGTCTTAAGTATCTGTGTTTTGCTTGATTTTGAGAAGGTTTTTGGCATGATCCAGTCTGACAAATTTTGCCCAAACTCTATGATGCTGACTCCTGGGGCCTCCAGCTGATGGGGAAATAAGCAAAAGGGGAATAAACCATGCAACAGATAGGCATGGCAACATGGAGAACGGGGTGAGCGAGGTCTGCATCCTTACACTTTCATTACTTAATGCAGACACGGAAAGCATAATAGAACCGTGCTCCAAAAATTCCAGCGCAGGGCCCAGGCATTAATGGGATTTACATAAATGTACCTTATATATGTAGATAACCTTGTTTTAATAGCTTCAGCTAGAGCAGACCTCTAGAACATGCCTAGTGCTTGTACTATCAGGACAAGGCAGAAGGAAAATCAGACAGAAGGAGGCGGAGAGCCAGCTATGTTGGCAGCGCTGCAAGACAGCGTCGGGTCCAAAAGAAGGCAGGCATGTTACAGCTCTGCCATGGCAGCAAATGATGGGAAGTGGTGATCTGTGACTTGGGACTGGGAGACAGATGGAACCGCAGTGCCCCGGGAACGTGAATGCAACAGCTGCATTTCTGCCAAAGTTCCTGAAGGAAGATGCGAGCAAAGCCCAGGGGCTCAAGCTGTTGTTGAAGACTAGCCTTGACAGCTGCTCTCCCTGCATTGCCCCTAAAACACGTCTTTCCCTTGTGGGTTTTTTCCATCTCAAACTTCCAATGGTCTGTTTACCACCTGCCTGTAAAAATGCAGGGCCCTGCAGCCCTTTCACACTCTTCTATATTTCTGCTTACTATCACTTGTCCGTGAGCTATCGCAGCAGTCCCACCCAGGATAAGGTGTCTGTGGTGCAAAACAGGGTTTATGCTAGGAAGGCCAGCCACTGTTGCTATTTCAGTGCTAGGGCACACAGGGCTGAATGGATCCTAGGTAATGCTAGTGAACAAACCAAAGTCGTGAGCTCAGAAACTGAGCCGCTGGCTGCATTCGACTGAGTGAATGGAAATCAAGACGGGTCAGGGGCAGCATGGGGCTGGGTTCCCACGTTTGCAGTGTTGCACCCAAAGCCAAAGCAAAATGGCAGTTTCCCTATGAGTAGCCTTGCTCGTGCTGTGGTGCAGGGGGCTGTCTAGAAATCTCGCTTCCGCTGCTGTGAGTGACCCGCTTTGCTCTGCCTCAGCTGAAGCCACCTTTACTTAGTGTTCAGCAGAGATGCAGACAAAGCAAGGGCTCTTCTTCCTTCCCCAGCTGTGAGATGCTCTAGGGAGGTCACTCGGCCAGAGCGGGAAAGCCCTCCGCCAGTCCCGACCTTTGTGCCTTTAATTTCTGCTTGGTTTGCTGAGGTTTGCAGGGATTTCCTTGCTTTTTAGAATGAAAAATAAAAGGAAAGAAAAAAAACAGCAAGTCATTGCAGATCTGATCAGGCAGCCCAGCTTGGCTACGGCATTTGTTGCAGAGGACCAGATCCCAGTGTGCAGGCTATGAAATCCTGACCACTCAGCCTGATAAAGAGCGGGTGAGTGGGGGGAGTTGTGTGGTCTGCATGTGCCCCCAACCCTACCGTATCCAGATTTTCTGTGCCTTTTGTAGATCCCTTGAGGAATGGGGTTTGGGAGTGCATAAAGTGACTGTGCTCTCTCGGCGAGGCAGCTCCCTTGGAGAAGCAGGTGAGGCGATCTTCAGGAGCAGAGCTCGAGGCCCTCCTTCCTGTGGGACAGGGACTAAGGCTCTTGGCAGACACCCCATCCTCTGCTAGGGCAGAGAGTACATCATGAACACCGCCGACAACTGTTCTTGCCCCATGGCTTTTAACACCACCAAGTACTTCCTCATTCCCATCTACTCCGTGGTAATAGGGACTGGCTTGCCTCTGAACTTCCTGGCATTCTGGGTCCTGGTGTCCCAGATCAAAAAGGCTGTGGTCCTTTCAGTCTTTGTGATGAACCTGGTGGTGGCTGACCTACTGCAGACCTTGACACTGCCCTTCTGGATCTACTACAGCCATCAGGATCACCGCTGGGACCTGGGGGAGATCAGTTGCAAGGTGGTCCACCTGATCTTCCTCACAAACTTCTACGCCAAGAATGGTTTCCTGTGCCTCATTGCTGCAGAGCGCTATCTCGGCCTGGTCCACCCCCTGCACTTCCACGGGCTGCAGACAATGCGCAGTGCCGCCAAGGTCAGCGCAGCCACGTGGCTGATGGTCATTGGCCTCTGCTCCTTGGGCAACTGGCTGCAGAACCTGGGGTCAAACCACTGCTATGACTGCTACCCACAAGCCACAGAGTACATCCATTTCCGATGGTTTGTCTTGGGCATCTCCTTCCTCCTACCCTGCTTCTTCATGGGTTTCTGCAACATCCAGGTCCTGTGCAAGATTAGACAGGTGTCATTCCTGGAGCAGGAGAAGAAGCAGCACATGTGCTGGTTTATGTCCCTCATCATCATCTCCTTCTTCCTGCTCTTCCTCCCTTATCAGGTGATTTTCTTGTTGAAGCACCTGATGAAGTCACCAGACCTTGACATATGTCCTCTGGAAGAGAAGTTTTTCACCTACAGCCAGGTGGCAAAGAGCCTTGCCACATTGGGCAACATCACAGATCCCCTTCTCTACATCCTGCTCCTCGAAGAGGGGAGGGCAGAGCTCAGGACCTGCTTCAGAAACATGGTCTTGAGATCAGCGTCGTAACAAGGACAGACCCAATGCCACCATCCTCCTTGGCAGGGGCAGAGGTGCGTGGACAGTCCTGAGTGGCAGGGCTGTGTCTGGGCATATGTGATGACTACCTGATCCACCCCAATTTGGGGGTGAGTGGCCCCAGGCAGCGTCCCCTTGCATCTGCTGAGGGGGAAAGACCAGTGCTGCCTGCAGCTTGGCTGCTTCAGGGGAGAGGGGGCCATGGCTTTGCTCCAGCTAGTCCACTCGTCCCCCTGGTGACACCCGGACATGGCTATGCTAATTAGTTCTGCTGCAGTGGCACACGCATGTAGCCATGCTACTTCCAGCAGCTACCTCCTGAGCAAAGAGCAGCGCTGTGCCTCTCAGCAGAGCCAGGCAGCCTGGCCACAGCATCACTGTAATAAAAACTGGAACTAGAAGCGGTGTGAACAGCTTCTGCTTCTGAAAGACTTGGGGGCGGGGCGTGGGACAGCGGTCTGAATTTCGACCGCATTGGAGTAGGGTTGGATGGATGCCAGCTCAGACCTGTGTATAGACTACAGAATGTGCCTGTTCCAGTACCTCTCAGTGAAGGTGCTAGATTTAATGCACATTAGCAAAAAGCGCATTAATGAACGTGGAGAAGCGCCCTAAGCGCGGGAGGCTGCAAGGGGGAGGGACACCCCTGGGCAGACCCAGTTCACTCGCAGCCCCCTCTCTCGCCCCACCCCCTCTGGCAAGGTTATCAATGATTTCAAACTGGCCAATGAGCGTTCGGGAAAGGCAGCGCCCAGCAGCGATTGGCGGAGACGTGACCAATCCGCGCCAGCCCTCTCCCTCCCACCGAACGCGCCTTGCTCGACAGCCTGCGCCGGCCTCTGACAAGGGGAGTGTGGGAGGGGAAGACGGGAGCCTTACGTCATCCCCCACCGGGACCAATAGAAAAGCGCCCATGCCAAGGTCCTGGCTGCCAGTCACAAGCTCCGCCCCGCTCCCTGAGGCTTTTCCCGCGAGTCTTTCCCTGTTGATCCCGCCTCCTCGACTATAGCCTATAAGAGCTAAAAGTACCGGGGAGTGACAGAAGTTCCAGCCATTCAGGGTGGACCGATGCAGAGAGGTGGGCCCGTATAAGGCGTAATGACCAATCACAGAGAGACATGAGGCAGGGGCGGACTCGAATGTGCCGTTCACCCAATGAGAAAGGACTGCGGCGTGGACTGACAGTGAGTTTAACCAAGCAGAGGAGAGTGTTGGGCTGCGGGCGTGGAGCGATGGGAGCAGCAGCCAGTGGTTGCTTACGCTCCCACTCCGCCGAGGCAGGGGGGTCGAACCCGCCGTTTCCCACCCCTCAGAGCTTCCTCTCTCATTGGCCAGTAGCAGGATTGACTTCCATGCCAGCCAATGACAGTGAATAAGGCTGTTCCCCCTCTTCCAATGGGGGCGGGAACGGGGTGGACTCGGATTAGTCCGGGCTGAGCGGTGCAGAGGGCGGCGTGGGCGCCATTTTGTGAGCAGCCCGGAGCCAGGAGGCCGCGGCGGGAGCGCGAGCGACTCGAAGTCCGAGCGGGGCCTAGCGGTGAGTCTGTCGTTGCTGCGCCGCTGTACGCAAGGCTGAGCCGGGACAGCGTGGGGCCGCCCCCCCGCGGTGTGCTCCGCCTCCCCGCGCCATTTGGGGGTAGCGGACCCCCCCCCCGGCGCGGCTCTGCCCGGCCGGGAGCGCGGGAGAATCCCGCCCCTCCCCCGGCCTACTATGGTGCAGTCCAGGCACCACAGCCTGTTCTCCTGGGCGAGACCGTCACGGGGCCAGGGGGGAGCCGGGGAGAGGAATGGTACGGCTCAGGCGGGAGAGACCACCATGGCGGGGGGAGGGGATGATATCGCTGAGGGGCGGCCGGGCGCGGGCTGACCAATGGGAAAACGAGGAAGCCGCCCCCCCCCGGGGGGGGACAATGGTGCGGCCTGCAGAGCCCGGTTTCCCGCTTCTTTGGGACAGACCAATGGGCGCGCAGGGGGGGCTGGCGCCTTCATCTCCATCCCCACCTCCCCCGCCACGCGGCAGGGGTCTGGGCCAGGTGGGGGTCTGGCTCCCGGGGCCTGTGCTGCAGGGGCACGCGGCCTGGTGGGCGGCAGCTGGAGCAGAGCCTCGAGTGGGCAGGAAGAAGGGGCTCGTGTCTCGGCCTGCCGCTCTCTGCCTGCGCCTCGGCCCTGCATGCGGATCCCTGCAGCCAGAGGGCACGGTCGGGATCTGGCCCCTGTGGGCCTCACTTTTCCCCCTCCCCCCTTCCGCCAGGAATAGGCCCCCTAGCCTTGCCTCGCCCCCTGTTCCCCGCCGTAGGTAATGCCGGTGCCTCCGGGGAGGCGTCAGCATTGCATCGCGTCCTTGGCTGGAGCAGGACGCGTACCCCCGCACCTTCAGGGCAGCTTGAGCTCCAAGGATCCTCCGTCAGGATAGGCTCGCATGACATTTCCCCCCCCGCCTGCAGGGATGTGCATGAGCACGATGCACCC